AGAAAGGGAAGATGTTTTCAAATTGCATTGTCTTTACATTGATGGAAAATTTGGGGATAGAAAAGGGAAGACCTCAATTACAAGTGTGGAAGGGCGTAGGTAAATATTCTGTGATATTTCAAATACTGATCTAACTAAACACTATGAACTAAATTATGAGTTTTAAATTTCTAATGTATTCTGCAGGTCTGCTAATAGTGATGAGACAAACCAAAGTTGACAGTAAGAGAGAAGAGAGTTTCAGAGCATGAAGGCTCTAGAAGGATCTGTGTGAACTTGTACATTTGTTGCAGAAAGGTAATGATGCTGCTGTGGAGGAGACATCAGCACATGCAAAAAAAAAAGCCAAACCCCATTATTTCTGAAAAATGCAGAGCAAACGGGTTTTCTGTACTTGGAGAAGTCAAGGCCTCTTATAGGCAAAGTAGCCATTCACAGTAATGGAACGTAAAATGAATAAATGGCTACTAGTAGCCTGCAAAATCTCTGAATGTTTAGCAAATAGTTTTGTGAGAACCTCAGAGAAGACATTTGGAAAAAAGGCTTTGCTTTTCTATCCCTTCCTTGGTGAAGGAGATGCTGAGTTTGTAACTTAACATCGATTGTTTACATGAATCCCTTCCCAGCTGCAGAAACTGAGAGCAAAATTGCAAAAACTGAGAGCAAAATTGCACCTCTTCCTGTTGAGCAGACACCAGGTGAAACACTTAGCAGGGTGACGTAGCTCTGGAGCAAATCTGGAATATGGTCTTTTGACAGGCTGTACCTCTTTATGGGAATGCTAATGGCAAATTGGCCACACAAGGAACCTGTGTGTAGAGAACTTTGAACTGTTGAATTGGTGGAACATCAGCTGACAGACTTATGTAGTATATAGTTCTCAACAAGTCTTCCTGGCTTTTCCTCAGTGTCCATCCTGATTTTCAAAATGGCACTTCAGAGTAATGTAATTGAATTCTGAAATGTAATTATTTTAATTTCACACATACACACATGCCCCCCTTCCCCTTATAAGAACATTCACATTGAGTAATCAAAGTAGCAATTCCTTAAATTCTCATGTTTCTTTAGCCCAAATGTTTTTACATTTTTTGGGCTTGGATGACATTTGATGTACTTGCATTTTCAACATATATTTAGGATCTATTTTAAGTCTACTTAAGATCTATTTATGAGGTGAAGGAATAAGGAATCTTATACTAAAAGTTGAAATGCTTTTTGTTTTCCTCTGTTTTGATGGTTTACTTGTCCAGTATGCTTTCCCAAAGGGTTGATCATGTTTTATAATGTGCATTAAATGTAACATGAAATAAAAGATGAGGGCCTTTTAGCTTCTGTGTCTTTTAAAATGTAATTCCAAGAGAATGCTAAAGGCTTTATGTAACTAATTATCTGATATCTGGGGTTTGATATTTGATATGTCCTATTTTATATAACTTTTTAAAATTAAACCGAGAAGAGATAATTAAACTTTGAGTGGAGAAAAGGTTTTTATCATTGCTTCAGTAAGATATTAAGTTCTATTTCACTGTCAGTGCAAGTAACACTCCTGCTGTAATGTAGATCTAAATAAACAGATAACTGTATGAGTATTTTTACTGCACTGTGCTCAAGATTATCTGAGTTTATATGAAAACAAAATGACTTTTCAAATTTCATTGCATTGAAGCTGTGTATATATGTTCAGGAATATGGCATGTGGAGTGTCCTTCAGGCTTCAAGTGTGAGATGCTTTTTAATCTTCTAGCATTTCCCAGAAGTGCATAGTGTTCCCTGAAGTTATCCCCATTTACTGTCCCAGATGATTTCCTGATGCTTGCTAAAAATTAAAAGTTTCTAGATATGAGAACACTTTACTTTGTCCCCAGAACACTGCTGCTTTGGGCTGAGTTTTTTTGGGATTTACAAAAAGTCAGAGGGTGCTCTCAGGTATCTCTATGCTGTTGAGCCTCCTTCCAGGATTGGTTTATGGCAAAGTGCCAGCAGACCTGCCTGCCTTGGTCAGAGAAGAAACCCTGTTGGTTTTTATTGTTGATTACAAAAGGGCTCTGTCTTCTGTGTATTGAAGCTGTGATCTTAATTCCCAGAGGAACTGGGGAACTTGCAGTTCACAGATTTCAGTGGTTAGACTTTTCTGGGAGGACAGAAGTCTGGGTTGTGATGCAAACAAGACTTCGTATCTATCATGACACCTGCTGCTGTGGTGGTATCTGCATATTCTCATACTGTATTTCCAGAGAGATGCTTTTCTGACAGTGTAAGATGTCAACTACCAGTCTAATTGTGCAGTGCATGAGAAGGATTTCTTTTCTGTGTCTTTGGAATTTATAAATATATAATCCTTGTGGTATGCAACAGGTAGAACAAAATACCTTGTCGTTCACTTCCTGATGTCTCTTCAGAAATTGTGGCCTAGAATGTAGAGTACTTTCTTTTTTTAGAGACTTCTATTTTCCAGGTTTGTTTTCCTTGAATGAACAGGGTCTTGTGCTTGTAGTGTTATGAATCATATGAAAAGCCAATATTTTCTCATAAGATTGTTAAAATCCACAATCTTTGTAATAGTACTGGTAATCAGAAGTCTGCACTTCCTTCACCTAATGTTATAATATTTTTGTAGTATATAGTGCACTTCCTGTATAAAACCAAACAAAAGCAAACAACCCCAAAACAAAACCCCCCTCACCACTTAGCATCTCCCTGGTTTCTTCATTAGGGGGCACTGCACAGCTATAGAAGGATGAATAGGATTTGCAGAGATACTTTCTGGTGCTTTCCAGTGATGCCATTTCACTTTCCACCTTTTCTAAACTATCCAGGGGCAGTGTAAGATAAAATCGTTGCTGTAATTTACACTGAATTCTGGTTAAATCTGGTTTTGGTAATTGTACAGTACCATGCTGGAATATAAACTTCCAAATTCCTATGTCCAGAGAAGTGTCTTCATAGTAGTTCAGAGTACTGCTTGATTTGCCATTTGTGTTGGTGTTACAACAGAAGACAACACACATTTCTGCACAGCACTTTTTAAATGTTAAACCTGGAGTATAATTACACTCCCTGGATTTTGATTTCGTTTCTGTTTACCATTGGAAATAGGATTACTCCAAATGGATCCTGTTGGGAAATTATTAACTGCTTTCTCCATATGTACGTATGTGTTTTGCTTTGTGACATGGATAAATACCTACATTTTTGCAGCTGGAGAGAGGTTGCTGTAAAAAGCAGCATAAGAGCAGAATGCTTTGCAGTAATGAATGTTAGTCTTTATTAGTTTTGTTTCTGAAGAGAATGTACAGAATATTTTAGGACCTAGTAAGGCTTATTTTCAAGGATACCAGTCTTAAACAATCTCTTCCACTGCTGAAGAGTAGCAACCCAGAAACTGTAGGAAATCCAGCCGGACTGTTTGGGTGGAGGTTTGTAAAAAGGCAGCACACAAGGCAGAGATTTTTCTCTGAATGCTTGTGCAGGAAAGATGCAAAATCTTAGAGGTAGTTACAGCTTTTTCAGAGCTTTCTTTCAAGACTTCTGCCAGTAGTGCTGTTCCTGCCTCATTGGTGTGGAATCCTCTGAACCCAGATCTGCAAAACTGAAGCAAAGGGGAGATGATGCCTCCACGAAATCTGGAGCTTGAGGAATATGAAGAGGGTAGTCTGTTCCTTCTTGGATGATGTCATCTCCCTGAGATCTTCTGGGGAGTAATGCTTGTTGTGGTGCATTCTCAGACCTTTTTCAGTGGTTGTTACTCAAGTAGGCTCTCCTACCTAATGCTGCTTAGGTTGAGAGTACAACAGTACAACAGATGACACTACAGGAGCCAAAGCTGCCTAGAGTAAACTTTGTGGTCATCCTTATGGCTGGAAACAGAGTAGTCTTTGGCACTGACAGCTGTTGCATTGAATGATTAATTCTAGTTAGGGAAAAAATTGTGCAGTTCTCTGACCCATTAAAATATCAAAAATTACTGTGTACTCTGTTGGATTTTGGAGAACAATGCTTATATTTTACACTGGAATTGAACAGCGTAATTTTATTTTTTCCAAGGGTGTCTCGTTCTGGTTCATACTGGTCTTCACTTCTACCACCATAACAAACCCTTCAATTGTGTAGAGTTAATTCTTGGTGTGTGATAGGCTAAAATGCTTGTCTGTTAATAATTCTGCAGATGTTATTTCAGTTTGACATTTAAACCACAACTGTGGTCACCTATTTTTTTACTCACGTAAAATGTTTTAGTGCTTAAATGAAGATTTGAGATGCAAATCTTCAATTTAAGCAATCTTGAACATGGCAGATCTTGTTTTAAAAGTCTACCTGTCATAACAATAGTTAGACACAAAATATTAAGTGTTAACCCTTCTTACCCAGTTTTAATTTAGTTTTTAGATTTAAAACTCATTGTGGCTCTGGGCAACTTGATTTGTGTTGGCTCTGCAGTTGTGCTGGAGATTGGCTTGAGATAATTTCCAAGGTCCCCTTCCACCTGATTTATTAATTAGACTGTTATTCATGAGGTGAGAGTCCTTGTAATCTTTTTTTAAATGGGATGAAGGAATTCTGCTTAACTTCGGGTCAAGCTTGCCTGTTCCAGGATGTTTATGTGTTACAAACTGATTTGTTCTTGTCCTGTAGTATGGTGTGTATGGGGATCTTCTTCCTTGCTTGTTCTTCTTAAGATTTAACGCCTGAAATGGGCTCCATTAAGGAGCTGTAAGGTAAATCAAACCAGTTTGAGATAAATACTGCATGTCTGAGTATGTTTGTATCTGGGGCACCTTAATAACTGTGCTGTATTTTAGTGTGATTAGGCTTTTAGCAGAGAGTTGTCTCTCACCTGTGTCAATAGCACACCTGGTTATTACCATTAACTTTTATAACAAGCAGGAGCACAGAAAATCAGCAGATGGTTAGATTTGTTCTTCCTGGGTCAAACTTCTGGATTTGCACATACCAAAATGCTTGTAACACTTCCTGTCTTTGACTTTCAATGTTCACAGCAATTGGAAGAAAAAAGTGAGGATGAAGAAGATAAGGAGTGCTTGAAGCAAGCAATAACTGCCCTGCTAAATCTTCAAAGCAGTATGGAACGGATATGCTCCAAAAGCCTTGCAAAACGAAGGCTTAGGTAAACGTTTCCGGTTTTTCTGCTCTCTGCTCTTAATGCTTTGCTATAAATCCAGGGCTTCTGGTTTCCTCTTTTAGTAAACAATGAACAAAATAGTTTGTGACAAGCCTGCTTTTTCAGAGGAAGTGACATCAAAGCCAAGATAATTTGTTATTGTTTTAAAACAGTTCTAATTTCTATGTGTCCTTGCAAACTGGTAGTTGAGACGTTCTGAGAATTCACTGGTAAGTAGAAAGTTACAGCATTAGTGGGTTAATTTGGCTCAGATAATAAATAAAAGCTATTCTAAAGGTACCTTTCTGTATAATTAGAAGGGAATGTTCTTGAATTTGAAACTACTCCTAAAATTGTTTCAATATTTTTGTTGCCAGACAGTTTTTGTGCTACCGAGGGTAACCTTTAGGCTTGAACATGAATGCATTTAACAGCTTGTTTTTTCTGAATGTACTTGTTTCAAATTAATGCTATCTAGAATTGTTCTTCTGGTTATGGAAGTGAGTGGCTTGTTGGGCTAAGAAGCACTCACAACTTGTCTGCCTCTGGTTGTTTGTGTTTAGGTAAAACATCTGTTGCTGAAGTAGAAAATTTATCAGATGAGATACTTTAGTTAAGACTTTGCAATGGTGCTGATATTGAATGATGAAATTATATTCTCAGTGGAGTACTCACTTCTCAGAAGGATGATGTGGTGTTTTTGTGTCAGTGGTGGTTGTGCTTTTTTAAATACATGTGCACTAATAGGCTGTCTTTTTCCCATCCTCCACTGAAGTGAATCCGCATGCCGGTTCTATACTCAGCAGATGAAGGGGAAGCAGCTAGCAATTAAGAAAATGAATGAAATTCAGAAAAATATTGATGGTTGGGAGGGTAAAGACATTGGACAGTGCTGTAACGAGTTCATCATGGAAGGAACTCTCACACGTGTAGGAGCAAAGCACGAGAGACACATATTCCTGTTTGATGGCTTGATGATTTGCTGTAAGTCAAATCATGGCCAGCCAAGACTTCCTGGTGCTAGCAATGCAGAATATCGACTCAAGGAGAAGTTCTTCATGCGAAAGGTACAAATCAATGATAAAGATGACACTAATGAGTATAGACATGCTTTTGAAATCATCTTAAAAGATGAGAACAGTGTTATTTTTGCTGCTAAATCAGCTGAAGAGAAAAACAACTGGATGGCAGCATTGATATCTTTGCAATATAGAAGCACACTGGAAAGGATGTTGGATGTAACAATGTTACAGGAAGAAAAAGAGGAGCAGATGCGATTTCCAAATCCTGAGTTTTATAGATTTGCAGAACCCGACTCTGAAGAGAATATTGTGTTTGAAGAGAACATGCAGCCCAAATCTGGAATCCCCATCATCAAGGCAGGAACTGTTGTGAAGCTCATTGAGAGGCTGACATACCACATGTATGCAGGTGAGGCACTTGAGTTTGTGCAGCCTAAACTCAAAGTAGGAATTTGTTCATGCTTGCTTCTCTTCCTGTGTTAAATACATGCAGCAAAAGGCATAAAGTGAGTGAAAAGTGAATATGCTTGGCAGTTCACATGGGATATTACATGTGCATAGGATTGTTCTCATGCAAGAGATGGGGGTGGGGGCCTACAGCAATTGAGCTCTAGACAATACTTCTTCCTTTGTGCCCCAAGCTACAAGAACTGCCTTCCCTCCAGACTTCTAAAGCTGGGTGACACAGGAAAGGCCAGCATTGTGGAAGAGAATTATGGGCCCAGTGTTTTCAGTTCAGGGTTGTACTCTGTCAGGTATTACCTGTGTCCATGCTGGCATGTCATGGAAAGACCAATATCAACTTGATAGATGCAGTCACTTGCATACTTTGACCTTAGAACTTTGCCTTATTCAGAACTTCAGTGAGGATTTGATTTAAGGACTTTTGACTTAGGGTTTCTGTTTGTGTTGAAGTCATGTTAAAGATATTTATGTGGTTATCCAGGCTGACCTCAGTGTCTGGGGTTCTTCTTGATAGCACCCCAGGATTTTCATAAGATGTGCTGCAAAGCATGGGCTTGAGTTTTATTTTTTTTTTCTGATTCTGTCTGTATCTCAGTTATTCTGAAACTTCATGAATCTTGGTGCTTTTCATATTCAATGATATTTTTTTTCTTCCTTTTTGCAGTCATAATTGTAGTAGATTGTTCTTCTGGAGCTCAGTCCTAGATACCCTACACAGATCAGGAATATTTGTTTGAAAGAAATGAGGAGTAAGCAGAATTTAATTCCCATAGTTTAGTACTCTGTTTACTTTTTTAAAAACTTATATTTATATCTCTTTGCTCCATTACTATTTTTGCTCTTCTTTAATTTCCTTGAGTTTTCCTAACATTTGCTAGAAAGCCAAATGCAATATTGTGCTGGCAGTTTTTACCTGAGCAATTTTGCACCTCTCTTCATTTTCTTGTAACTTTATAAACTTCTAGCTCTTGACTTAAATTTTTATAAGCATGATTTAATTGTAAAATCTACATAATTTTATGTCATAAGTCTTGAAAGTTAAACAACTCAGCCTTAGAGAAAGGAAGGCACTTTTCTGTTACTTCTAAATCTAGCGTTGTCTTTGCCAAAGAATTAGCAAAAACTATTGTATGAGAAAACTGAGAATATGGGTACTGAGAGGTGGCCTGAAAGACTTTGACCAGAAGGATAAAAATAGTTGTCTTATAATGTATGTAGCTTGTCTTTGTAGCCTTAAACATCTTAGTGGATGTGATGCTGCGTTGCTACTTTGTGCATAATTTCTCAACACTTATCTTCTATACCTTCTGTTTTATAATTGGTTATCTGTGAGGAAAAATATCATTGTTCTCACCATTCTGTGCAGTCTTTTCCAGGGCAGCAAAGAAATAAAAGATAGAGTGACTCAACCAAAAATGCTCTGTTGTACAGGAAACATGGTCCATTGGTGATGTAAATCATTCAGGGTTTTGTTGCATCTTGTGAGATGCAGTGAGTAGGGCAGCAGCTCTCCAGAGTACCAGGTTAGCTCTTTCACACATGTATCAGCTGAGTTCAAGGCTTCTCCTCTGCTTGGAGACCTGGGAAGATACGTGCCTTGGTGATATGTAACCAAACAGCTACAGACTGTAGAAATGCTTTTCTTGCCCCACACAGGATTGTGTACATGTGGTAATCTTAAAAGTCTTTATTGGTTTTATATTCAGATGCCAGAACAGCAAGTATTTACCTTTCGGAGGAAATTTTTCTGAAATGCAGTGTGGCTGGTAAGGGCAGCCCTTGATCTGCCAGTCTAAAGACAGTATTTACTGTAGCTGTGACTTTTCTCTAGGGTTTTTATCTTTGTAGGTCAAGTGATGTAAGAAATAATTACAGATGCACTTTGCAAAGGTAATATAAATTTTTTGCAGTTTAGTTAGTTGCTGTAGTCAAATTAGGTCTCAATTTTTTGTAATATATGAAGATCCACACAGTCCACCTCTTTTGTAGATATGGCTGTTGGACATTTTATTTGTCATCCCTCACCCCCTTGACAAATGAGAAACCATTTTATCAGCCAAAATTTCTTTGCTGTGAAACAGGGACAGCTCTAAGGAAACAATTCTGCCAAGCGTGGGAGGCATCCATCTTCTACAACAGCTCAGACAGGGAGACAGCCCTGATGGCCACCTGGTCATGAGGTGTGGCAGACTGTCCAAACTATCCTGTGGTGAAGCAGCAAAACAGAGAGAAATCTCCTCTGCAAAAGCAGCTTTCCTTGTCTTTTTACATGAGAGAAACTGCCCTGCAATTAGAAGTTCAGGTTCTGACCCTATTTGCAGATTCTGGTGGATTTTCCTTGTTTTACTGTGTTTCTGCATTCATTATCTCCTCTTGCTCAATTCTTGTTTAAGAGCAGCTGGATTAGGTGGTACCAACATTTTAAAGTCGTGGCATTTTTTTTTATCTATAGGGCAGCACTCTTCTATTTTTAAAGCTTTGATATGTTAAGAGTGCTTGTGCGTCATCATAGTGTCCGTTTCCTTTCTTAAGGAATTCAAGGGTGATTATTTATAAATCCTTGTAGAACAGTTATTGTTCTTTTTTAGCTTTCAAATTGGCTGCATTGAAGAGAGAATTATCACATGAGCAGACATCCTGACTAACTGGTGTTGTCTGTATTTTTTTAAAACTTACTCATATATTGTACACTATTCTGAGTCACAGTTATTGCTAGCAAGATAACAAAGTTAGATTTTATTTTCTGATCTACACAGTTTGAAATTCAATATGTATTGTGGATTTATATGCTGACCCTACCTGTAAATTATAATAGCTACGACTCAGAGCTTGCAGTGATCTGAAAATTTTAATTGCTATGGAAGTTCTTTTTTTCATGTAGACAAAAATCTCTTACTTAGTGTAGATGCTGTGTACAGGTTGCAAGCTTTGAAAGCATGAGTTACTGTGCTTCTTTAGGACAGCAGAATTTGTGTATTTTCATTATGAAGATGATGTGAACAGGGATGACCATCTTAGTGCAAAAAGTATTGAAGTTCTGCCTTTGAAAATAATTTTGGACTGTACAGTTTCAAGGATTGGTGGGAGAGGAATTATGATTAGAAAAATGGAGTAATGAAGAACATGTGAGAAGCAGAATAGGCAATTGTTAAAGGAATGAGAATTGTCATGCAACAAAATTGCAAGGAAATGCTGTGTTACATGGCACAGTTAAGGTGTGCAGCACATCACAGCAAACTGTTGCCCAAATGAACAACTCAGTGGGGTCTAAGAAGGGTAGAGAATGTTCATTCAAATGTACAAGCTGCTGGTAAAGAGTTAAGGAGGATTTTAAAGCAGCTCTTAAAAATCCATATTCCAGGAAACAAATCCAGTAGAGCATTAGGTCAAATAATGCAGCCTTTTCATCCTCCATGTTACAGCCTACAGGAATTCTTGCTTCAAGTCCTGTGAGCTCCTCTTCAGCCACTCCATGTTAAGACAATTCCAGCTGGGATTTGGTTTTCAAATCTGGCTATGGATTTAATATGCAAAGCTGTTGCAATCTGCTCATTAATTCAGTGATAACAGTGTTAGCCTTGTTTCTAGTCAGCTCTGTGCAGTGCCAGTGAGCTGTCACAGCATTACCTCATATTTGAAAACAAATGGGTTTGCTTTTGTAGTTATGAGAGACACTTTGGTTTTCTGATTGTTTTGATTGTTTTTAAGACACATTTTCATATTTTAAATTAATTGATATGTAATTAGTCAATATAAATGAAATCAGTTTATTTTGTAGAAGTGAAATAAATATCATAGCTATCAGGTGAAAAAATATCTAGGCTGCTTTAACCATGACTGGTTATCAGTTGTGCCAGTTTAGGGGAAATATTCTCCCCTGGAAGAGGCCATTTCTATCCAGTGCAAAGTTACTTGATGTGTTTTTTGAGTTCTCTTGTCCCAGTCACTGTCAAAACCAAAGTTGTTTACTTGTAAATAAAATCATCTATTCATTAATTTCAAAGTCACTGGAAAAGAATCCTGTCTTTTAACAATTGAGGGAGGAGGGGGAAAGTAACTGTTGTGAACCTTCAACAGAATTAAAATTGTTTTTAAGTTCTGCTTTGTATTGCTATTTTAGGAGGCTTTGAATTGTTATCACAGCCATTTCGGTTTACATCATTTTCTCTGTAAATTGATAGGGCGACATCCTTAATTTTAACAGATAACTGAAGTTATTGTAAAGAAAAAAAAAAGCAGGTAATTGCTGACATAAGTGTAAAATTATTCTTTGTCTTAGATCCCAACTTTGTTCGGACTTTTCTCACAACATATAGATCCTTCTGTAGACCTCAAGAGTTGCTGAGTTTGCTAATAGAAAGGTATGCCACTGTTAAAAATACTGTCCTTATGCAGTGCATTTTGTTTTCTTTTTACTTGTAGTGCGTAAGATTCTGGCTTTCCAGCTGGTTTCTTGTCGCTTCAAACACCTTTTAAAAAATTGTCCAATTCAAGGATTGCCAGTAAATGTACAAGTTTATATCCAGAAGCTTGTGCCCGAGGCTGGTGCTTACACCCATGTTCTGTGCTAGGTTTGAAATTCCAGAGCCGGAGCCCACGGAAGCCGACCGGATGGCCATGGAGAACGGGGACCAGCCGCTGAGCGCCGAGCTGAAGCGCTTTAGGAAGGAGTACATCCAGCCTGTGCAGCTGCGGTGAGTGCTGCGCCCTGGGAGCCGCCCAAGCGCTGCCTTCGGCTGCTCCGGCGCTCGGAGCTGCCAGAGCCCTTCCTGCAGCTGCTCTCACGGGGAAGGTGGGCTGAGCTTAGAGTGCTCATTGGGGCTTTGCTTTGCAGAGTACTGAATGTGTGCCGACACTGGGTAGAGCACCATTTCTATGACTTTGAGAGAGACGCTGACCTTCTGAAACGTTTGGAAGAGTTCATTGGAACAGTAAGAGGTATTTACGGTCCCTTAAGTGCTGACATTTATCCTAAAGCATCCCATTTCAAAGGTGAATCCCATTTTCAAAGATCAGAATTGTGATCAATTTTGCTTTCAGGAAAAACAGGACAGACTGCTTATTAAATACTTCATAAAGAGGGTGAAATAAACTTTCATTAAGCCCACACACACACTATTATTCAAAATCTGCCTCTTGTTCACAATAATGATTGTTATTTACATAAATTGAGTTTTGTTGTAGAGGGACTGAAATAATGAAAAATAATAAGAACCAAGTCATGATCAGGACAGAATAATTGCTTTGATTGTCATTTTAAACTTTACACAGAGGTAATTTTTGGAAATTTGGATGGTGGAAACCATTATTTCTTTGAAACAAGAGTTTCCAGCTACTTCACAGTGCATATGAGAACTGTAGGACACCTTGCCGTTGTGATTGTACAGACTTTTCCTGTGTCCTTTTTAAGAAAGCCAAGACAAACACAGGAGCAATTTTCAGGAAAAGACTATGTCAGAGAAGTACTTAGTGGTTATTTAGCCACTAAAAAGAGGGCAGAATGAGACAGGTAATTCATCGGATGTTACTGGTAAATTTTCAATGGACTGGTGCATGAAATTCTTATGGTGCAGAGCTAGAAAGGCATTGGCCTTTTAGTTTTATTCTCAGCTTTGATGGTAAATGCAGTACAGGGAGAAGCTTCTCTCTGTTTGGTATTTTGACTTTCTAGGTTGTCTGAGGTAATCACATGCTCTTGCCCAAACTAGAAAGGTCAAGGTGTTTGCAGAAGTGCATTTTGGGCAAGAAAAGGTTTGTTCCCAAAAACTCACTGTAAACTCAGAAAAGAAAGGCATGTAAATCAGAGCAGGAGACTAATTTGGATGTTCTGATTTGTGCTGGGGTAAAATCATGCTCAGCATTGGCTGTTGAGGAATTCTTTTTATCTTTGAATACTTCTACACTTGTGTAGAGACTGCCAATCTTAAAGAATATATGATTGCTTTAGTTTAGTAGGTTTTGGGTTTACATCCAAAGATTCCTGAGTTATACCGATATCTTATGAAAAACAGTATTAACTAAATAGTAATTTTCCCTATGTGCCAGGCAAAGCCATGAAGAAGTGGGTTGAATCCATCACAAAGATAATCAACAGGAAAAAGCAGGCACAAGCCATTGGGCCGAGCCACAACATCACTTTTGAGAGCCCCCCTCCAGCAATTGAGTGGCACATCAGCAAACCAGGCCACACAGAGACTTTTGACTTGCTCACTCTGCATCCCATAGAAATTGCTCGGCAGCTCACTTTACTGGAGTCAGATTTTTACAGGTAACTTTCCTCCACTGAGAAACACGTGGCACAAGTCAAAATATTCTCCATGCCTGAAATTGTTCCTGTGGGCCTTTGATGTAAAGCCCCACAGAAATTAAGGGACTTTACCAGTGTTGTGTATTCATTTCCATTTTACAGAGGAAGCTCTCTTAAATACAATATTTGTTTTATCCTCCCCAAGTTAATGTGCAGTATGGTGACTGTTGCATACTGTTAATTGTCTTGTGCTCCAGCTTTCTCTTGATATTTTCTGAGTAGATCAACATTTGAGAAGTATGAACAATTATTAAATCGGTTTTCTTCACATCCTGGTTTATGTAGCAAATTAAGGACTGTGTCAGATCTCATCAGCTTTCTATAAGAAATTATTCAGGCATTGGAAACTCACATTTTGTTACAGTGAATGAGATGGAGATTTCATTTTTCATTTAGATGAACAGAGATGCTTAAGAGTCACATAGATTAAGAAATACCTACAGTCCAAAAAAGAATCAGTCATTTAGTCATGAGGGCAGCCTAACATTGTATTTCTAAATTTATTTCTAAATATCAATTCCAAATTCAGTGAAAATCAAGACAGTTTGGAAAAATAATATCTTCTTTCCTGCTTTCAGTTACATTTTTTGATAAAACATCTACTTTTCCAGAGCTGTGCAGCCATCAGAACTAGTTGGAAGTGTGTGGACAAAGGAAGATAAAGAAATTAATTCTCCCAACCTTCTCAAAATGATAAGGCATACAACTAACCTAACTCTGTGGTTTGAAAAGTAAGTGACTTTCCTGAATCTGCACCTACTCCATATCTGGACATTTACAGTTCATTCACAAGTATACTGTGAAAAATTCTGTTCTGGGAGAATTCCTGTTTTGGTGTTTAGATGCTAAAACTGGTCCCTGTGAGAAATTTACCATAGTGGTCTCAAGCTTTTTATTCTTAGAAAAAAATTTTGAAATCTCTAAGACGTTTTCAGATCTACCTCAAGTAATTTGATAAAATCATATTTGTTTGTGTTACAACTTAGTATTTGACTTTGGAAACCTCATCAGCGCTTTAATACAACCCCCAATGTTCTTGTGTATTTAGATGCATTGTAGAAACAGAAAACCTAGAGGAAAGAGTAATTGTAGTGAGCCGGATAATTGAGATCCTGCAAGTTTTTCAAGAGCTAAACAACTTTAATGGTGTCCTTGAGATTGTCAGTGCTATGAACTCCGCAGCAGTTTATAGGTTGGATCACACATTTGAGGTACAGTGAAATGTTTTCCACTTTTGCTATGACAGTGTCGTGCAGGGTACCTTGGCTACACTGAAAGCCTGTCTTGTCAGTAAGCACATGCTTCCAAGGAGCAAGGAAAGTAAATCCCTCAAGAAATTAATCAACCAGGGTGTAAGAGAGAGGGTTTTTTCCTTGCTTTCAGAAGCAAGAAATCCATCCCCACTTAAGTAAGACATCTCAGGATGGTGGGGCACTGTCCTCATGGTCCCTGATTCAAGTACCAGTGGGAGACCATTACTCTCAGTATTGTTGCTGGGCCATGCCTTTATCTTCTTTTTCCAAACCTCCTGTTTGATCTCTCTTTTAAGCAAATTCCAAGTCGCCAAAAGAAGATCTTAGAAGAAGCTTATGAGCTGAGTGAAGACCATTATAAGAAATACTTGGCAAAACTCAGGTCCATTAATCCTCCTTGTGTGCCTTTTTTTGGTGAGTACATGTGGTTTGGATGAGCCATGTCACACGTTAACATTTCAAAAGTATTGAGCTTATGGACTAAACAGAGTATGAACAATAAAGGGAAAATTTTAACAGGACAGTGAATTGGAATTTCAGGTGCCCAGACATGAATATGTGAAAAAAAAACCCTGAAGTGACTATTCATTGAAGATGTTATTTGCAGTAAAAATCAGTGTATCTGCAATATCCTATTTCCATATTTGATGATTTTTACTTTGAGTGTGGTTTGAACTGCTACAGCCAGAAATACTCTCAATAGAAGGTGTTCACATTAGAAATATTATTGCCATTGACTGGGAGAAAAAGCAAGATCCTCTTCCTCATAAAGTGTTCCAAGAAATGCAACTACAGTCTCATTTTTATTAAAAAGTCTTATTTCTGTATAAATAGAGTCTGGAAAGCAAGCATCCTCTTTATCTCAGATTTAACAGCTCTTCTTTGAAGCAGATAGCTGATATTTAACAGATTGTGATTTTAAGTACATGTCATTTCTGTTCTTAAGCTAGCCACTTAAATGTTTGCTACAGATCAGTTCCGAGCCAGGACAGTGCATTTGTCTAACATAGGCTTCAAGCCAAAACTGAAAGAACATAGTGTTGGTGGCTTTTTTGGCCTTTTACAGACTGGGGAAAGATATACTCTAGAGCTCTGTAAAGAAAGATAAGATCAACTAAGAAACCTTCTGTCCTGATTCAGAGATGAGTAGAGGTTAGCAGGATCACATGTGAATAGCTTCAGTTATTTATTTATTCTTTCTGGGATTAATTCCAAATTGTCAAGTCATAATGACAATTCCAGGCTCATTATCTACAGAGTGGAGAGCACTTTTTGCTTCCTAATCTTCAAATTATTTGATGCAATTATGAAGTCAGGATAAAACTTGAAAATAAGTTTTGGAGTTTAGCTGGGGTGTCTAATGGAGAAGAGGAGTTAAGAGAAAGCACTCCTGTTCAGTGTCCTCTTTTTGTATTCAGTTGTGTGAGCTTCCTAAAACATAGAAAGATGCACAGGCTTTGGGGACATTGATGTAAAAAGGCATTTCTCTGGAAAAGGCATGTTAAAATATTTAAATTGTTGCCCTTATTGGAAGGTGAGGTGCAATTCTCTTATTGACCCTAACAGAGGCATTTTCTAAATAAGTGCAGTGCACAAATTAAATTTTTTAAGAATTCCTTGTATTCCAGTTGTGACTTCCTCCTTGTTTCATATTCTGTGTTGAAAACCTCTTCTGTGTGCTGTTTAGGGATTTACTTAACCAACATTTTGAAAACAGAAGAAGGCAATCCTGAATTTCTCAAGCGCCATGGGAAAGACCTTATAAACTTCAGCAAGAGAAGGAAGGTAGCTGAGATAACAGGGGAGATCCAGCAGTACCAGAACCAGCCGTATTGTTTAAGAGTGGAATTTGACATCAGGGTGAGTGACACAATTTCTTTCTGTGGTGATTCTGCCAACTTACAGACCATAAGGACAGACAGAATTCACATAGATTCAGTCTGACTGAACCAGAGATGAGCAGCAGGTCTGTCATAAAACTTCTCTTGGGTCTCGGTGTAAGAAAGGGCAAAAAGCTCCATGCTTGCAGTTCCTTGGGTTTGTTTCATTTTTTTTCTCAGCTGTTGGGACATTGGTAGATCTTCTTATTGATCAGTGTTAGACAGGAACTGAAACTGGCAGATTCTCATTGTCCTTCACTCAGTTTCAATTATTTGTCCAGTGAGCCCAGTTGTCTTTTCCTCTCCTGTTAGACTGCTTTTATGTTCCATTTTTACCTGATAGCACTGTGCTTATGTCATGTGTTGATGGAGATGATACATCTTTCTTTCTCTTGGTGTTTGTTTTCCTTGGTCTGAGGTGTTGTCTAAGCATTATCCTCTCTGGTTGCTTTCCTTTCATCCTTTTTTCTTCTTGCCATCTTTTGAGCTGTGTGCTTTCAGAGAGTCACAGGATAGGGTATCTTAAGAGATTCTGCAAGGTTTTTTAAATTTGTTCTCCTTAGGCTTTGACGGAATGCATTGTGGGAGCAGTCTTCCCTGCATCAGTGTAAAGATGGATTGTTTGCAGCCTCTTCTGGAAGTGTTTGGGCAAACATGGTCTGACTTTGCACTTTGCACTGCAGAAAGCATTTAGGATACTTCCCCAGCTGGTTTTCAGGCCAAGCATAGTAGTAGCAATGTCCAGAAAAGGCCTGGCAACAAGAAGATTTAATAGCTTAAGTCTGTCATTATCTCTTACTCCAGCATTTTCGCTCTTTTCTCGAACAGGTGGGATCATTTGCGCTGTAGAAACAAGCAATATTAAGAAGCATCTTAGCTGACAAGTTGTCTGCCTTGTTGTATTGCAGAGATTTTTTGAAAACCTGAATCCAATGGGAAACAGCGTGGAGACAGAATTTACAGATTATCTGTTCAACAAGTCACTGGAGATAGAGCCACGAAATGTCAAGCCTCCTCCAAGATTCGTTAGTATTTGATTTTTGTATTTATTTTTCAAAAAGCGCTAGAGACAGCAGAAGTAATTTCAGATCTCTGACTTCGTAACTGCAAAGCAGCATCTAAGTGATCCCGTGGCCTTTTGATTTTGGTTGATATTTTCTGTCGTTTCAGCCCAAGAAGTACAGCTACCCTCTCAAGTCGCCGGGTGTTCGTCCCTCTAATCCAAGGCCAGGTACCATGAGACATCCCACGCCCCTGCAGCAGGAGCCACGGAAAATCAGCTACAGCCGCATCCCGGAGAGCGAGACGGAAGCCACGGCGTCTGCCCCGAACTCGCCCCGCACCCCGCTGACCCCCCCCCCTGCCTCGGCCACTTCCAGCACCACTGACGCCTGCAGCGTCTTTGACTCCGACCCCTCCAGCCCTTTTCACACGAGTAGGTGCTCACAGACAGCATATGCCACTCACATTTTGTGGTCTTAGGCAGGGGAAATCAGGTTTAGCCTTCTTCAGTGACTGTAAAAATCATTGCTGTTGTCTCCCTGCAGATCAAAAACTTTCGGCATTTCTTACTCTCTTTTCCTTTAAAAAGTTTTTATTGTAAACGAGAAACTGAACATAATTAGGTGTATTATATAGGGACTGTTACAAGTCTTTGGAGGACCTGTCAAAACTGAAGGCAGAGGTAATCTCTAGGGCCCATATGTGTCCCAGTCAAACTTGTGACATGTATGTGTATGAATGTATTTGGTGAGTATCTGATGGTGAACATTGGGAATAAGAAATTAATTGTTTGTGGGTGTCTTATTCTGCTGCCTGCAATTCAGACCTAATTTCAGTGTACACGGATGGTTTTCCTGCAAAACTTAAAATCAGTGTTTGCTTGCTTTAAATCCATCAGGATTTATCCACACCTCTTTTTCTTCTGTCTTTCCCAACATACGAGGAAGGTCGTATTTTATGGTGTGCCCTCAGTATTTAATAGTGGATATAGGCTCCTTTCACATATGAGGGTTTTCAGAGGATACTCCTGTGTTGAGCTGGTTGCCACAAGGAGGTGAAATGACTTCCTAAAGGCAGAAGTTCCTTAGCAGAGCTGTGCCATTGCTGAGTGTCCAAGCCAGGTCTTCAGAAAGCCTCTGGAGAAAGCATGCATTTGTTGATCAGTCCATTGATTGCAGGTTCAGGATATTGTTGTAGTACTGTTGTGACATAAGAACAAATTTGTGGTGTGGTTTTGGTCTCAAGGATTACTTAAGAAACTTCAGGACCTGATGGCCACAGAGATCTTTACAGCTCAGAAAAGCAGTTTCTCTGGCAGCTGCAAGTTAGAGGCTTGTTTCATTGTCTTTACTTACCACTTCCTTGATTCATGATGCTTTTTATAAGCAATTGCTTTATTATTTATTGTACCTCTGTTGGCAGCAATATGGAGCCAAAAGTTCATCATTTTCAATGGTTTTTTTTCTGTCCCTTAGGATCTGCTTCTGTGTCATCCATAAACTTTACCAAAACTTCAGATGATGCTCCTGTCCCTCCTCCTGTTCCTCCACGGAGAAGACCAGAATCTGCCCCAGCTGAATCCTCCCCATCAAAAGTAAGTAAGCAGGAAAAAGGTAATTTGTTTTTCTGGGAGAAGAGGGGTGGGTATGACAGAAAAGCAGCTCTCAAAGACAGTACATTTAGTTTTTGAAGAAGTGTATGTGAAAGAGTAAGCAGCCATATGTTTCAAGCCTTCACAGCTCTGCCTCACTATGTCTCGACCTCAAACAAATGAAAACAGATGGGACCTAAATTTAGGGTTAGAATTGTCTCATCTACTGATGTGCTGTGCTCAGGCCCTTGCATTGCCTGTGAGAACTTGAGGTTTCAGACAGGTGTTTCTGTCTGGGATTAATTGTTCCAGAGTATCGTTTTAGGATATATGAATAAGAGTAAGAACTGACGAACAGTAATGATGGAAACTGCTGTACACAGCTCAGTCCTCTGAAAAGTTTCACCAGAATATTTGATCCTGATGCTGTGGTGCTCAAGTGCTTGCTTTCCTCTCTTGCTTACCTGTCCTGTCTGCCTGCCTGCTTAAGCCATTGCTACATGTTCCTTTTGCATTTGTCTGGCAACTGGGATCTGATCCAACCTGTGTTGCAGACACTGTCAAATTACACCTGATTTCAGTGGAAGCTTGTTTGTGACTTCAGATTTTAAAATCTCACTCAAAATTACTTCAGAGCAGATATGTCTTTGAAGAGAGTTTATAAGTGGCCCTTCAGCAGTTATTTTCAGACTACAGGCAACTGTTTTGCCAGTCAGCAGAACTTGATACATCACCAAAATGTATCTGAAATCCTACCAAAATGTATTTGAAAACATTGTGTATGTGATAGGGTGTTGGAGATCAGTTATCCTGTCACTATTATCTGCAACTTGGGAAATGTTCACTTCCATAATTCTAACTACTTAACTCCATCTTCTGAGCATAGTTTATTTTTTTCCCTGTTCGGCATCATCAGCCTCTCCCTTTTTCTAGTTCTCCTGAAGAAATTCCTGGTGTGTTAAGCACTCCAAGTTCTTACTGGGGAGGTGGTGGAAGTTACCCAAAACTCCCCAGCAAGCAGGCCTGGAACTAGCATGGAGATCGTTCCTTTGAGCATTCTTTGCCTTGCCCTTGTTCCTCTCTGTGCCTCTTCATTCCTTCCATCCTTGTCTGTTCACTCACATGTTGCTGCAGCCCTGCTAAAAGCAATCTGCACTGCAGGAGGAGGCTTCTGTTTCACAGCAGGGTCCTGTGCTTTGCAGCTGCTGTGGAATTTTACTGACTGAAGTTTTTGTGTACCTCAGATTACTTCTGCACACCTGGACAACCCACCAGCAATCCCTCCCAGGCAACCAACCTCTAAAGTGTATTCTCCAAGGTACTCGGTGCCCGATCGGACCTGCATCTCTGACTCGTGTGTTCCCACTGCAAACCCCCCCGAGTTACCGCCACGGGAGCCTGTGCGAACTCCAGATGTTTTCTCTAGCTCACCACTACACCTCCAGCCCCCACCCCTGGGGAGAAAAAGCGAACTTGGTAACACCTTTTTCCCCAACAGCCCCTCTCCGTTCACGCCCCCTCCCCCCCAGACACCTTCTCCACATGTAGCACGGAGGCATCTGCCGTCGCCGCCTTTGGTACCGCAGGATGCAGACCTCCCTTCTGTTGCTGGACCACCCGTTCCTCCACGACAAAGCACTTCCCAACATATCCCAAAGCTTCCTCCAAAAACTTACAAAAGGGAGCACACGCATCCGTCGATGCATCGGGATGGGCCACCCTTGCTGGAGAATGCCCCCTCCTCCTGAACTGTCCCTCGCGCTGGGAGTCGCATTTTCCTGGTGCTATGTCTGTTGCTGGCAATGGATGCACTGAACCTGGTGGTGTCAAGGAGTTGGGATGTGTATGCCAAACACTAAGAACTCTCCAATGCGTTGGAAATGTTGTGTACAGAAATGGAACTGCAAAACCAGACTTTCTAGTGGAAAACCCGGTTAACTTGCTGTTCTCGTTTTAGTATGCGGGACTTTGTTCTAAAGTAATTGGACAGCTGATTGTACCAGAAAACGGTCTGGAGAGACTTCTTTGGCCAATGAGCAGAGACTGAGTTTGTGTAATGATCAATAATGTCCAGTACAGGAAGGAAAAACAGTCTTGAATCCATCAGTTCCATACAGTGGCACAGTTTTCAGAATGAAAACATTATGCACTTTTTTTAAATCTCAAACAGGGAACTTTATATCCTTCTTAATTTTCCTTTGCTTTACTTACTCCCTGCTTTAAAATACCTTCCTAAAATTATGAGAAGGACTGTGAGGAAGATCTGTGGTACCTAACTGAGCTAGAATTAAGGCAAAGCACTGTATTGCGGTCCTGTTTACAAGTTGTTACAATGAGTAGTAGGGGGTACCTAGGCTTCACCAAAGAGGTACTTTATTATTATTTTCTGAAATACTGTGGTGCCAGTTCAAAAATAAATTTTTGCCAGGAAGCATAATGTCTAATTATTGCTTTCTTTAGATAGAGCTGATGAAAGTCTTACATCCTTAAAGTGACAGCGAATTTTTTTTTTAAAAGCAGCACTATCATCTGAAGCAAATATACTACATTTAGAAGACTGTTAATCTCTGCTAGGTTATGTCATGTTCTTTTTAAGGTTTACTGATAATCCATTTCATGGCTAGTAGCTATTCTTTTTCAGTCATGCCATGAAAACAGTCACTTGTCAACTTCCATAGCTATTGTCATGTTTTACTAACAATAGATTAATCAGCATACATAGGATTGCCTTGCAGTTGCATAAATCATGTGTATATAGTGAATGTTGCATAAATATACTTGCAGATTGTTTTTAATTTAATTGAAATAAAGATAAAGATATGTTTGGCCGACATACGTTAAATTATTAATGGACAAATGTTCAACTTAGCTTTTCAGTTAAGCACTGAGGGGGATAAAAGCCCATCTTGTGGTACGTATTTTTCCTAGTTCAGTGTATGTATTTTAGTAATGAGAGACTTAAAGAGGTTTTTTTGGCATATTAGAAAATAATAATTCAGTAATATTTGAGAGGCTGAATTACTCCCAAAGTGAATTATTATACCTTGTGAAATGTTTCCCACATCCTGTATGACACGTGTTAGAAAAAAATCAAATTTATATTAATTTTTACAGTGAGACTTTCTGATCTGTATTTCTTCTTCAGCACATTTTTGTCTGTGCTGTTGTGCAGCCAAGGCAGAGCAGGCCCCCAGTGGTCAAGATGCTCAGTCAGGAGGGACCTTGTATAGTTCCTGCTAATCAGCAGATTTCCTAAATGTCAGTAGGTTTCTGCTTTCCTGTGTGAAATGGGGAATGCTGTTCCCTGTTTGTGGTGGAGGATAAAAGTGCTTTCCTGGTGAGATACTCGGACAGCAGGTGACAGTGGTCACCATGCAAGAACCTAAAGCAGACATTCTTTGGAGCCCAGGGGTCAGTCACAGTGCACAAATCACGGTGTTGACTCAGCTGCAAATAGGAAGGACAGGGTCAGAATCAAACCTATAGCATTTAGGAGTTGATTACAACTGCTAAGCTACTGGTTTGTGTCGTAGCAACTCTGTGTTAATCATTTCTGATCTGCAGTGGCTTCTTAGGTGGATCATGTTTGCATTAGTGACAATACTTTTCACATAGAAAATTAAATAATTGTAATGATGCTCTCTGTCTCCTTGGTAAAATGACCCTGATTTGGTCTGGTGTGGCCTGGACAATGAAATATGTCCATGTGGAGGCCTGGAGAGTTGCTGTAGTACTGCAGGGAGCTGATATATGGCTGAAAGTCAGCCAAAACCACTGCAAACTGTGTAGGCAGGGTTATGTAGCAGAACTTCATAGGTTTTTAAGAAAGATGGGGACAACCTTTTTGGCAGGGCCTCTTGCAATAGGACAGAGAGTAATGGCTTTAAACTAAAGGAGGGTAGATTTAGACAAAGTATAAGGAAGAAGTTTTTTACATTGGGTGTGATGAACCACTGGAACAGGTGGCCCAGAGGTGGAAGATGCCCCATCCCTGGCAACATTCAGGGTCAGGCTGGAAGAGCTCTCAGCAGCCAGCCCTAGGTGGAAATGTCCCTGCTCATTGCAGGGGTTGGACTAGATGGCCTTTAAAGGTTCTTTTCCAACCCAGACTGTTCCATGATTCTGTGGTGATTTTGCAGGTCCTGTGCAGCTGCTGTGTGGGAAGTTGCTGTTGTGCTACCTGGTGACCCCACGGTGACACATTATTGTCATGGCATTCAGCAGCCCCTGCAACAAGCTTGTCTGCTAATGGGGAATATTGTCCTCCAGGGTTGAGACCATGGGAGCACTGGAGTGCTCCATCCTCAAGAAGCCATTTCCAGTGTGGGCTAACCTGCTGCTCTGATACGCCTGTCTTAAATCAGGGAGGAAGAGGTCTGTCTCAGTAAGAGCATGCTAATACACTGGATTTTAAAACCTTGACGTTTCAGAGTCACGTTGTGGGATATGTAATTATTTTTCTTTTGTGTGTGATTTAAATTAGATTTTCCCAGTGATATCACTGGAGGTACTGCTGTTGAACACAGTAGATTACTGTGCTTCATTGAAAAGATTGTTGAACTGTCATTTCTAAATCCAGACAATGCATAGATGAAGTCTTTCTTTGGGAGACAAACCTGTGACCTAATACAGGTGTAAAGACAAAAATGCTCTTAACTTATTTTGTAAATTCCATTCCTTATTTTCCATTACAAAAAAACCCACCCTTAAATGCATTTTTCTGTCCACTGATAGCAGATTTACCTTTTGTGTTCAGTGGAAAATAGTGCATTATGAGGGAAATGAAATAAAGAGTAAGGGGTTTTTTTATTACTTTCTAGCCAGCAAGCGTGAATTTTCACCCATACTGGGTGGCTGAAAAGTTGAAAAGGAAAAATAAACTAAAAACCCTTTTGCCAGATGCATGACAATTTAGGTGCCAAATGCAGTTACAGATGCAGAACATCTGTAATATTTTTTTTTAAAAGGTAACCAAAGGTAGGTGATCAAGGGCACATGTTATTGGAATTGCTTTGGATAAATTTGTTGCATCTCTTTCAGAGTAAGCCTTTTTTTGTTTTGAGTCTAGGATGGCTGACTTAAACAAGGAGTGTAGCTGTGGAGAGGTGTGGTCTAGAAGAGTCTTAAGGAGAAGAAGATCTAAGATGTAGATTAGGGCTACACCAACAACAGGATCTTGACCAGAAGCCTGGAGAAGAGTGACTCAGCTGGGCTCTGGATGACTCTTAGAGCCTCACGTAGAGAACAGTCTGCTTGCATGGCTGGATTTGCAGGATTACAGGATGGTGTAAGTCATATTGCCTCGGAAAGGGACCAGAGAAACACCTGTTTCTTCTTTTAATGGATGCAACCTTCTGGCTGATTCAGTGCAAAAAGCAGCGGCGTTATTTAAAGGCAATGTTTATTTGGCAAAGGAAGAAAAATAATCCAGAGCACACATGTACCCTGAAGATGGATTTGAAATGAATCCTGCAACAGGTTGTGTGTGTGTGGTGCTGAGCATCATTCATTCATACTATTTACATTTGCAGATTCTGAGCAGGTACAAGGACATCTCAAGTGATAAATATAGGCCTGGAAGTAAGAACTCGTAGAGAATCAAAAAGAAATAACCATCAGTTCTGACTGTGCCTTAAATCACTAAAATAGAAGCTGAAATCCACATGCATTTTACAAGCAAGGGTCTGCCACTTCGGAAGGATCTCCTCACCCAGGAGATGTTAGCAGGTAGGTTTTTTTCCTTTGTCCTATTTCTGTCCTGGTATTCTGCTTGGCAAATATGAAAAGCAGGATTGTTTTGTGAAGGCTAAGTGTGTCATTACATACATGAGGCCAAAACCTCAAGAATCAGAGCCCTTGACAACATCAGTGCATTACAATGGACACTTGTCCATAATGATACATCTCTGGTTCTATGGACAAACAAACTGTTCTGTCTGTGGCTGGTTCCTCTGCAGAACAGGCTTTGCTGATGCTTCAGTTACAAGTCTCTGGCTCTTCCTGCATAATTTCTATCCTGGCCCTGCCCAGTCTGACTAAAAGCTGTCAAGTCCTAGAACTGTCTTTGTGATTCAGTGGCTGGTCAGCATGTAGCAGTCCTGACTGGAGAGGGACATGGAATTTGTAATTGTATGAGGATGTGAGGGAAAGGGAAGGGGATGGAAGGGGAGTTTTTTGCCATTAAAAGCCTTACATTAAAAAAACAATCTTCCCAGAGTAGTTTCCAAAAGCTAGGGGAGGAAAGTATGACACTTCTTTCCTTTTTGTAAGGAGGATAAGTGGATATTTGTTTAATTAAAATCTATGGGAGAGGGACCAGCTAAAACATTTTAATCTTTGGGGTTTTGCTTGGTCACATTCTTGAAATGCTGGGAAAACCTTGATTGCAGTAAAGAATGGGTTTTGTCTCTCTGGATAGCCCTTTTCACACACACCCCTTTGCCTCCAGCAGAGGAGGAAAAGCAGGTGGTAGGTGCAGGTCAGTCAACACTGGAGAGCTCTGGGCCCTGTATCTGCAGCAGATATTGGCCACTGCATCCACAGACACCTGCTCTGGGCTCCCCTATCCTGCTGCCATGGCCAGGAGAGCCATGCAGCATGCTGGGTGCCTCTTCTCTTGGCCCCAAAACCAGCCACCCTTGCGCTGATGCGGGGAGTCCCAAGCCCCCAGTCTCACAGGATTTCCCCCAAGGCATTGCTGTTGGCCCCATGGAGACAGTTCACAGCTTTTGAAGGTGAAGCTGTCCTTTTGCCAGACCAGTGTCCTAGGTGTATCAAAACAAGGTGATAAAAACACAGTTGCTCCTGAAACTGCCCTCAGAAGGTCCCAGCATCAGGTGACACCACAGCTCACCAGTACTGCACTGGTAACCACTGTGCCAGTGGTGCTCTCGCTGCTGGTGTGGGACTCGGGTATCACAGCAGAGCTGCTCCGAGTCTCCTCCAGAGACCAGTTACTGAGGGTGTGTCATGTCCAGGTGTGAGGAGGGTGGCCTGTGTGTGGCCTCGTTGATCTGTCCTTGCACAAGAAGGAGAGCTATGCCTTTGAACATGGTGCACCATCAACTTGCCTGCCCTAGTGCCTCAACTTTTAGCTGGAAGAACCTTTCCAAAACTGCACGTGATGGGCTTGTGAGGGTGTCAGGCCAAAGAGTTGGCAAAGTGTGTTCCAGATGTGTTACAGACCAGGAGCCAGGACACTGTTTGGCACTACAGTATCTTCATTGATCCACACTGGGGATAAGGTGGAGAAGAGTCTCTCTTGTGGCAGGCCCTGGGCCCAGCCTGCATCACCTGCCTGGAGACATGGGCGATTCTGAGAGCAGAAGCAGTGATTCCTACAGCAGGACACAATTCAGGAAAACAGCATTCACGTAAGAGGTGAAATAGGATTTTGGTGAGTGATGGAAGTCCAAAAGAAAGGATGCTGCCGACTGGGCAGTGCTATGCTCAGGTGCTTCAGCTGATGCTTCTTAGACCTTCTCAAACCACGTGGGTAATGCGAGCTGGCTTTCTGGAATGCATCTTTGATGGTGTTTTTTTTTGGAAAATAGAGGAAAGAAAGGAATTTTAGACTTCTGGCCAGAGTACCAGGGCTGCAAAGGTAACCTTTCTGCTGTGGGTGAGCCCAAATAAGACCTGCCTTGATTTTGGAAGAGCAAAGATGTATGGCAAATCAAGCAGTTTCGGGGGATGAGGGGGAGGAGAAGATACCAGGGTTTGGCCAAACGGAGGGAAATTCAGTCTGGTAGAGATGAAAGCTAGCAAGTTCCTGTGGTTATTGGACCTGCTGGTTGAGCTCCACTGCAACCCAAAGCCTGGCCCTGCCCTG